TTCTTAACCGCGCGCACTAATTACTACGGATAAAATAGATGGGTCTCTTTCTCCGAGTACGAGTAAATTACTCACTTAATGGTGGACCTCGGATCGTTTCTCCGTTGTTTTTTTGTCGCGATCGTCCGTAATTAAGACGCCGAAAATGAATACTGACCTGCCGGCATAAACACGTAATAGGCCCTCGTTACACGCGATCGCCCAGTTTTTTTCTCAAAATGCTCGGCTTGCCTCTACACCCTCTGGTAGATTCAATCAATTCGGCGCAGCTCGTTTGCAATTCTGTAGGCCAACAGACGAGCCTCGATACACCCCGCTTGTGCAATTAATCAGCATCCTTGAAACGGCTTCCTCTCTTCTTCTCGAATGTATTTTGGTCTCTCTCTCTCTCTCTCTCTCTCCCCCCTCCCTTCCCCTCCTCTTCCCCTCCTCTCTCTCTCTCTCTTCTTCCACCTCTACGCTTCTTTCTCTTTTTTCTCTTTCAATCTACAAGCAGCAGGCGTCGAGCGTGCGCTTAACCACCTGTACTTCGAGTCGATGTTTCATACGCAGACGACCCCTTTCTCGACCCGTTTCCTTGAACCCTGGTATATCAGTCATATCGCTAATTGGAAATCGCTCGTGCGATCTACAATGTCTCGCGCGCGCATACCGGCAATTAAATGTGCGTTTACCGCCAACCGCCAGCCATGCCAGACTTTTACATTAGAAGGAAAGTTTCCGGTCTTTCTCTCTCTCTTTTTCCTTTTTGTATTGACGGAAGATGCCACTCGTGGCTTGATTGCAGCATAGCGGGCATCTTTCCGCTTTAACCCTCATGTATGGTTAACGCATATATAATACGTCCCGAAATTTGCGAGTTTAATTCCGATGATAGTTTCTTTCGAATATCACAATAAAATGAATATTTCCGGTAATATGATTAAATATAGTATCGCCGCAATATTTTTCATGATCTATTACTTAGTTTTTATTTAGCCGCAATAAGAAAATCTCTTCTTTTCACATCTTCTTTTGTCGTACTTTAAAGTTAACTTTCAGTTTAAAAAGATTTAATTTGCGTGAAGAGTAAAAGAAGTTGGCGCAAGTTTAACGCTTTATCATCACGAATGTCGCTGTCATTGGATTTGCATGGAATTATTAGAAAAAGAGATTTGTCCGAACGCGCTTCTCCTTAAACGTAATTTTCAATAGTAAGTTATATATCGATGGTGCGATAACAGATTTCCATGGGATAGAGTAATTAAAGAGACTAATATGTGTCACCGAGGTATAAAGCTACCTCACATTTATATATACATATGTATATGTATATATATATAATCATATGTGTATATTTTCCTTCACAAGAGGCAGGATGCGATGCACACCTCGTGATACGCGTGTCACGCAGAATAGGTTTCCGCGCTGATGCCTTTTAATTGGCGCGGATGTCGTCGCGATTATATGAAAATAAAATGCTCATTACAAGCACAGATTTCCATTAGCTGGATCTGTTTGTGATAAATGTTTACTAGAGCTTGAATAATATGATGCTGTAAACATGTGTTTCCGATGTTTTATGTATTTTATGCTTACTTTTTCGCGGCGCCGATAATTTATATCCATGATATTTCACAACTGCCGTAGGATATATTAACATTTAATCAATGTCGCAGTAAAATCAATAAGTGGAAATTTGCAAAAACCGATATAAACAAGGCGGGGTTTTCCTTTGCTCAAATTGCGAATTTAACAAATATATCTTGTTGAATTAATAACGTCACTGCGGTATGATAACAAAAAGGATTTTAATTTTTACACGTTATGATCAGCAGAAAAACGGTATATTGTAGCGCTCATTGTTATAACATTTGTATGAAAATATTACATGTAAAATGTAGAAATGTCCATTAATTTCACTTTATACAGTAGACACACTGAAGCGCAGACATATTTGCAATATGCTTTTTGTATTTATAGATAAATTTAATTACATTGTTCATACAGTTTAATTCACTGGAAATTGACGGTAATTTTATTGCTAATAGAGACCAATTGAAGTAACGCTTTGATTTGTAGTAATATTTTTGCATTAACAAATTCAAATTTGCGTTGAATGCTTTTTTCCTAACGCGTCCTCGTGCAAAACGTCAGGAGCGCTCGTGCCTCGGACTAATCGCTGATCAATCCGGTCGCGGTACTCGTGCGCGCCCGGTCGTCACGTAAGTGCATGTGCCGTAAGTACTCAGTCTGCACAAGTATTCACCATCCGCACGTGCATCTCGAAGCCAACCGGGAAGCGAACCGAAACGGTGGTGGTGCGGTCACGGCGGTGGCGCACGCGCCACCAGATAGCGGGAGACGAGGGATGGTTTATCTCCCCGGCGCCATAAACGTTGCAGATATTATGGATAGTGGACTGAGTTACGGGCCAATATTTCTTCGTAATTATTCTACGCTCCTACGTAACGGGAGAGATAGCATCGTGGAGAGGAGCCAGGTATAAGGGCTTACGCCGCCTTCCTCCCTTCGCGCCACGTCCGAATTTAGATCCTGTTTTTTATTACCATCCTCGTACGTGATATCGGATTTTTTTCCACGACCCGCGATCAGCGCAGTCGATTTATCGATGTCGTTTGTATGCTTAACCGACGGCCTCGTCTCGTGCATTGTTTTATCCGTCCCGTCGTTGTCGTCGTCGGGGTCAGGGAAAATGCGGAAAAAATGAGTAACGCGTAAATCTCTTTTAAACAAGTCCGTTTATTTCGATTCTCGAATATTGCGCGACACTCACAATTTGTACTTATCACAGTTACGGCAATGTGAAAATCTTGTTTTTATGACTTAATCAATTCATTATAATTGCGCGATACTTTTCCATAATGATTTTTACATTTTATAAGAGGCTTATTCTGCGGAAAAATCTAATTCAAAGTGATTTGACGGCTCTATGAAAAAAATATTGAAAATTGGAGCAACCGTCGGGGAATAAGTGACATTTGTATGCAAAGAATCTTTCATCGTTACTTATCGTCGTTCCTTAGAAAGAATTTCCCGGGGATGTTTCCGCCCGGCGTTTATTCGTAACGAAAGTCGTAAATGAGGGGAAAAGAATACTCCAGGATAATGAAGGCTATAGATAGCAGAGAGTTTGCGCGTAATTGTTCGCAAAAGTGTTTTTCTTTTCTTCGGGGATCGACCGGCGAAGGAGGTTCGCCGAAGTTAATTCCTCATTATTTCGCTACCCCTGGCGACGATTAACGAGACGCCCCGTAGGACTAAAATTGCTACAGAAGGTCGACGATTAGTTTCAAAATACTCTCTAGTAGATCTACGGATTATTTTTCTAAGTTACTAAGTTGTTGCGCAAAAGCGATGCTGTATTTTCTGCGCGATCGTCTAGATGAAATTCCATCTCGAATCTCGGCTTTGGAATCGTACGAATCTGACGGTCGAATTTTATTATCAAAATTTTTTATTGGGGGAATTAGTGATTTTTTAAAATAGACTTTAAGACAGGATATATATAAACAGTAAAATTCTCACAAACGTTAATTTTACAAGTAAATTGTAAATTACGTAGATTTTCTCTTTAACATTTGTTTTATCTACATTACTTTTAAACACAATTACACGCTTTTTCTTCGTAATGTTTGTCTGTTTGTACGCGCAATTTAGTTTCCCGCGTTTATACTTTTCACCTGCCCGTTGTAGAAATAGCCTCGTAAATTCATACCTCCATCCAATTATGTTCTCATTAATTAAACTCGATTACGTTACCAATTTTAGTTGACTGCGAATGCGGCATCCACGTGTTAAACAATTTTTAGCTCGTTACTGTAGCGGAGCGTTTACCGATTATGTGCGCGTCTAACTCCGAGTATTCGCCCGTTGGTAGATGCAACGTGAAATTGTAGCAACAATAGTGCTACAAGCCAACCGGCGTTGTTATCAATGAAAAGATACTTTTCGAACAACAATGCAACTTTGTTCGTTCTGCGCTATTGTATCGGATTATTACCAATCGATGGAACAATATAGAAATCGAGATAGAAATCACATCTGGACGTGGACAATTATTTTTTGATCGTAATCTTAAATTTATTTGCCGAGTATTCTCGAGTGGATCGTCTGGTTTTTAATGATAGGCAATAGAGCCGGCTTTTTCCGGATTACTTGTATTTCGTGCAGTGTAATCAAATACGCGACGACTACTGCGCTCGTTCAATTAAAAAACTTTTCGGAAGAGAAAAATTATTTAGGTAAATGGCGGTCGAGCGTTTTAGGTAAATATAGAGATCACTTTGCGGGAATGATCGCGTTTACATTCAATTCATGGATTTGTTGTTTTTATTTTATTTTTTTATGCCCAACGCACGCGAACGAAGTCGTTTTGCGAAGTTTGGCTCAAAAGATTCAATTGCATGCGTTGCGGGCTGTTTTTTTCCGTATTGAGCTCTCCCGAAATGAAATACTATGAAGTTTAATTGGAAATATTCGATCACGCTTGTGTATTAGTGCACCGCCACGGGAACAGCATACGGAAAATGTTATTATGTGTTTTGTCTTGAAAAACACATTCAGCTCCTTCGATTCTAATAAACATTACTATTTTGACAACATATAATTACAGTTAATAGTACGCATAATGTTCTTATACCGTATACTGAGTCGATTAATGGGAAATTACATTTGGCGGATGCTCCTCGCGGTAATGCGAATAAATTTGGCACACATTTACGCACGAGTAACTACCATTCTTTGATACGCGCGTTATATTATTACATCTTTATTATAATAAATACAAAATTTATCGGGATACCGTTTGAATAATTGGAATTAGAGAACGGCTCGTTCGTTGTACGAAAAAGATGTCGTTGCACACGGAGGGAGAGAGAAGGAGTGGGGCACGCGGTATACTAGAATATGCACCTTCTTTTGCGTTTACGTTACGCAATTTACTTAATACGTGCAAATATCGTTGTGTTTAAACTATCGTGATATCTCTCTGCTTTCAGGATGGTCCGCATGATCGGCGATGAATTCCTCACCGAGGAGCGGGACCGAAAGTACTACGCCGATCACTACACATGCTGCCCACCACCCCTCTTCATCATCCTCATCACCCTCGTGGAGGTGAGTAGATCGAGTTATCCTACGTTCTCGTAACGAGCACGGCATGCGCCGGATAATACGCGCGCACACTACCTGCTTTCCGCTCTTTGATCCTCGCGCTTTCAGTGGTGATTAATACAATTTTTAACGAGACCATTTATGCGCGCAAATACAAACGACGACTAGGACGCGCTTATCAATTCGTGCCGCTTTCTTGGCGCTTTCACCCTCGACCTTTCATTAGTTTTAGGAATAATTTGTTGCCGCCACGCCTGTTGTAGTTGCTGAGGTTTCGGATGTCGAAGTTTACTGTACGTAACGAGCTCGGAGATATCTCCCGTTTAGCCTGTAAATTTCTGTACGTTGCCCTTACGTCTGTTCTGCAGATAGCGAGCATTTTACTTGGAAAAATAGGCGAGGAGGATTTATAATGCTCACGCGAGTCTTTATGTTACTTTTGCAATTTTACGAATCCTCTTTCCTTATAATGCGCGCGTTATCTACGCTTTTAATTGCTCGGTGTGCATTAATTGCGAGAAAGAGGGAGCATCTTCATTTCTCCAACGTTCCAATGCAGATTCTCATTTCTTACGTACGTACGTTTGCGATATCGTATTACGTGATCAAAGATTACAGTTTGCCCGGAGGGAGCAGTCTAATATTCTTTGTGGTCAAAGAGTTAACCGCGCCTGTAAAAGAGTCACGCGCGCTCGCTGCGCGTCGTCTCGTTCTCCATTATTTTCCACATTTTCGCCATGAACATGCGAAACAATCGTCTGTACCGAAGGCGCCACAGGTATTACGCGTACGCACATTACCACTTCCTCGGACTAATATCCGTTTTAAGACCGTCCTATCCGTTCCCTTTTTTCTTTTTCGTCACCGCGCGTACTAATGATCGTTCTTTCACCTTCTTTCCTCTCTTCCATTTTTCCCTTGTGATCGTTCTTTCACCTCCTTCTCTCTCTTCCTTTTTCCCCCTTGTGACACGCGCGGTCTGAAGATGTTCGAGGCAGATTTACTCTGCCGACCGACCTCGTTAGGCGGCGATTTTAATCTTCCGTAAAGTAATTCGATACTCGTAAGCCACCCTCGTTAAAAGCGCGCTCCGATACGGACGAACATCTTGCGCAATAATGCTAATTAAAATTGCGTCAGGTTATTATGTCACGGCTTCGATGGTGCCGTTATAAATATTGATTTAATAGAGATACGCGGCGGCGTCAAAGGACCGGCCGGACGCGCACGCACGTATATCGGGCCATTATAATAAAAGCGCACTCACGTGCGAATCTCTCTTCTAAATTATTTTTGTTAGATTCTGCAGGCCATCAGGAATATAATGAATACACATAATTACTCCACTCTCGTATTATGACCTGCGCGCGGTAAAATTTTAATGAAAACTGTATTATAGAAACGTTTATATTGAGCGTTTCGGCCGCATGGAAAATGAAGCGATTTTATTTTTAAATGAGTTTGATACGCTTCGGAACTCGTTGCGCGATTTTATTACGACATATTGAGCTTCGTTTAGAGCGCGCATCATTCCTCGATCTTTTTGTTACCGATGCAGGAAAATATGTAGGAGAAATTATTCGCAAATTGCGAATGCAACGCTATAGCTTTTTTTCATGACGGGCGATATCGTCGTGTTCCTCCGGCGATTTTGTTCTCCTTGTCATTCGTCACGACGGAACTAACGGAAAGACAACGTAATTGTTTTCTATAATGAGCGACTAGCGCGACTTACAAAGTTACGCATGACAATGTTGCTTTGAGCATCGAGAACGCTGCAACCGTGTTTAATAAATTTTTAATGATCACGGTTTGTTCGTAATTTACGCGTAGACGACAGCGCGCTACGTTGGCCGCGAACGCACGGACGGTTCTCGAAATTCAAATCTGAAGTTCACAATACCATTATTAATATCTCGGGCCGGAATTACGCGCTCTTACTCGCGTGTGTTCGTCGTTAGCAATATATTCGTCGTTATAATAATAAAATTAACTCGAGCGTAACTAATGTCGAGTTGGACGAGTGAAACGCGCGTGAGAGGAAAAAAAACGACACAATGGAAAATTTTTTCGTATTGCCTTGTGCAATTTGTACAGGGCACGATTTAGAATAAAATTACACAAGATGAATCGTGTATGTAATGCCGACGGACGGATTTTATGACGACTGTCGAGCTAATCTTTTTATTTTATTATATCACGTTAATTTAAAAAATACAAGATCGCGAAACCATTATTCGTTAATCAAAGTAGGGAGAAATGGCATGTCTTCGTGACTAACGAAAATTAAGAGAAGTTAAATGTATTTAGAATTAATTTGCGAAAAATGCTGCTGAAGGTATTTAATATTGGAAATTGCAAAATTGTCGCGAGCGCGACCATTCACTCGTGAATTAAAGCTACAATCTAATTAAGCCGGGTTTCAACCGGCGCGCGCTCCATTTTTCTCAACCGCTCATCGTTTCTTGATGCATCGATTGCGCGTGTCCGGAGCGCGAGCGTATCTGGTTTGATGTTCGGTGCGCGAACACTCGCGATCGAAGTGCGCGCTCGTTAATTAAATCTCCAAGTACCTCCACGGTGTAAACTGCAATCCCGGAAGCGACATGTGCGACCACCGAGATAAGATGCGTCCCGGGGTGTGGGATAAGTGCCCGCGACGTACGACGTAAAAGAGTAAATTGGTATCAGTAAGTCCTCTAAAAGGGTACTTAATTGCCACCGCTCAGTCGTCATATTTTATGATTTAATTAAATCGCAAGTATCGCGCTTCTTTTTAGCTCTGTTAAAAGGTTGCGCATTCGTAATTTCATCCGGATGGAGGCTAAAATTGGATTTTAACTCGCAGTAAGCGAAATGCAAATGAAGGAACAAAGAGAAAAAGGAAGACGTCGCGACATTACCGATGAGTAAATTGAGTTTGTTTAGATATGGCGATATTTATATGATTTTTAAATATCATTATTTCCTCTTTTTAGGCGCTCTTTTTATTAATTTCTTTGAAGTCCCGCTTTTGCGAGCTACCCTGTCATATTGCACGAAGTCAGGGAGGAAAAATCATTCCTTTCGTTCGCTCAGTTCGCTATGAACTTTGTGATTCGCTAGTCAAAGCATTTTTCGTTAATTAAATTCCCAGGTATTTCGTGTCGTAAGCATTGATGCTGGTAATATACCTGGATTACCGCGAACGAGACGTACGCTTTGTCTTTGGGAATTGCAATCAAGGAAAATTTTATATAACTTATGCTAATCTATTTCCACAACTACGAAATACTGGAGTTCAATAATATTACGAGAAATCGCGACGCCACAAACAGTGCTGAACACCTCGCTTTTGTCAAGTCGAATCAAAGATGTAATAAATGTGAATTATTTAGCTCGCGACGTATATGAAACTTTAAATTTATGACATGTGCAACTGCAGGATTTGTCAACTTTACTCGAAATTCCTTTACATTTATATAACATATCGCGGTACGAATCTAAGTTAAAAAACGCAGATAGCATCGAGTGCACGGTGATTTTATCTATATACGTATGTGCGCATGTATCAGCCGCGTCTGCGGTTTATTTGTCAAGGAATTCTGCGCTAATTAAATCTGCAGGTATCGTAAGTGCAGCGTGGAAAGCGATCCCGGAAGCGTCGAACCGCCGCATCGCTACCGGACGGTTGTGCCGTATACCGGCATGCGGGATAAAGCGTCCGCCTCGCTATCTCCTCCGCCGCGATGAGTGGAGGAGGAGAAGGAGGAGGAGGGGGAGGGAGGGGACGGGGGGAGAACGAGAAGCTGTAATTTTAAACGGCTCACGGTTAATACCCATTAGTGACTGGGTTAATACATGATTCACGCGCGCGCGGAGATTGTCACATTCGGCTCGATTCTAATTATAATTTATCGCCCGTACGCGAGATCTTCCCACCTGACTTCCGCCTCGCGCGTACCCGTAAAAGCTCGCGTCACTCACGATGGTACGCGCGTACTGGTAAGGCAGTGGCCAGCGACGTGTGTACGCGTCGACTTTTGTGAAACATAATCCGACGTTATACGTTGGTTTTATTTTATATAATATTCTCGGCATTGTATTATTACGCACATTACATTACACAGTATTTCGCACCTCTCTCACTCTCTTTCTCTCTCGGTACATGCTTCGTTCTTTCGTTTTACCGCGTGAATTTGAGCGAAACATTTACTATGCTGTACGTTTTCTCCGGCAGTTTATCGTGATCCGAGATCTGGTTCTGCTATGAATTGAATTTAAAAAAGATCTCGCGACGTGCTAATAAAATCTCCGCGCGATGTAATTGCGCTGTGTAAATGTGCCGTTTTATTCTTTCTCTCTTTAAAATCGCGATAATTTTCTAATTCCCTAGCGATCACTGTGACGAAAACTGGTCGTTAGTGATGTGCATAGGTGTAACTTATCCTGGGCGATATGCATGTATGTATGCATTCGTGATACATTCCGGCCTGCGTGGATTACAAGCGGCAATTTAAACACGCGTTATCCCGCGTTACAAACGAGCCGAACGATTACTTATGCGCGACGTATCGTAATTTCCGTGACTATATCGCTTTTCACGCCGCAACATCGTCGAAATAAGATCGCCTATTAATTTTCCGCTCGGTCGCTCGCCCAATGATGACTTGCGAGAGATTCCACAGATAGTATAAGTGGAGAATGTATGAATAGACAAGCGACAACATTTGTAAATCAAAGAACATTTCGCAGAAAAAAATTTACTTCCCTCGTGGCCTGCGAATGGCTTGATAATTAACGCGTTACAATCGAATATTAAAGCATTTTGGTAGATTGGATTTGGGCAATGGAAATAATCAACAACTAGTAAATAGGAAATGTATCTTTTATTTTAATTAACATGATTTTTGTTGTACATAATTTTAAAACTAATCTAAGTTTAATTACTAAATTTTTAATCAATAATTGCTACTGAAAACGTGGAATTGGAGGATAACAACGACGAAATAAATTTCTAATTA